CACTAATGTGGAAAGACTCTGATCACTTCAGCAATAAAGAACGTATGTATGATTTTAATTTGTAATGGAAATGTTTTCTTTAGTATGTAGTATATCTGGTTATTGAGAAAAAAGACTGCTTCCATGCTGAGATAAATTGATGTCATTTTACAGAATAAGCACTATCTTTAACTTTTTCTGATTTTTAATATAAATATGTTGCAGTCACTTGATAATAATTAAGATAATGCCTATAGAATGTACTTTTAGTTGCTGATAGGAACCAGTGCAAGGACAGTAAGTACCAGGTTCAGAGTGGGACAGGGGAAGGGAAATATGGAACAAAAGAAAATGTTTAATGAATAAAGGTAAAGCCAACATTTCTTATATTTGACCAGCATCTGGAAAGTTTTTCTGCCTTATTTCTTTACTTTAAGTTATTTAACAGGATGTAATAGGAAATATTTTTAGCTTGATCTGATTTTTTTTTCCTTCAGTATTTTATGGTTTTATTTAGTCTTTACAAATCTATGTATTGCTTAGGTCATGGATATTAACCTCGAATGATTTCTAGCTATTAGAGGCAAAGTGGGAAAGATATGATAATCCTTTAACTTTCTTGTCTATTGTGATAGCTTTGTTCCTTGTATTTTAAAAACTGAATCATATTAAGCATAATTAGTTTTATATGAAGATTTAAAATCAGGTTAGTGTTTGTTATTCAATTACGAAATATAATTTACTTTACAAAGGAGTACATGTGGGAATTAAGTAAAGCTTTCTGATTACCAAAGAGAATAAGTTTTTCTGAAGAGCTACATTTTCTCAATAATGAGGATTTAGCACTTTAATCACCTAATACTTTTTAAAACATCACCAAATTAAAAGGCCCAGCAGCTATGTTTTTTGTGTTCTCGTGTCTATTTTATTGTGTTTTTTTTTTTCCCCTTGTGGTTTCCTCCCTTGCTGTTAGTTTGGTAGAAAATATTTCGCTGTTGTTAATGTGCCTACTCTTAACCTCTTCTAATAAAAAACATCTTTTAAATAGACTAGAAAACCAAAGTGACAGAAGTGGTAGGGTGTGTGTGTGTGTGTGTGTGTGTGCACGCACACACACACACACGTTTATATACACATAAAGTTTACTGTTAATTAAAGTTTAAGGAGTTTAATAGTAACAAAATTTGTGAGTTTGGTGGTTTCTTTAGGCTATTGAGAGGCCTGTATATTTAACTTTATTTTTTCTTCCTTGTTTAGTTGTTGTGTTCTAGTTGAGTAAGGTATTCTATATACTGGCAGAACAGTCACTGTTAAATTTAAGGGTTACAGTATACAATGTATGAAAATAATCTTTTAACAAATATTTAAGTTAATATTTTTTATTTTCAAGTAGATTTTAACATAATTGTTTATTACATGGATTGTTGCTTAAAATGTTATTTTTCCTTCAGGATCGCAACGCTATGCCATTTTTTGTTTATTCAAAATGGGAGCTAATGTGTTTGATACTGATGTGGTGAATGTGGATAAAACAATCACAGATATATGTTTTGAAAATGTAACCATATTGTAAGTATTTTTTTTAATCTTCAGAGAATAAAAATAATCTAAAATTTTTCTTTTTTAAAAGGAAGTTCTTACTAGGTCTTTGGATTCTTTTTATGTTTTTATGTTTAAGTTGTCTTTAAACATTTAATGTGATTTTAAAAATTACTTTGTTCAAAAGAAGTTCGTTTCTCTATCTGCAGTTTTCTGATGTAAAATAAAAATGGAAATTTTGTAATTACTATTAGCAGTAAATATATGACTTATTAGATATGATCAATTTTTAAATTATTAATAAATATTCATAGTTCAGTTATTAACTAAGCTGTGCATAAAACAGGATTTTTATTTCATATAGGATATTTGTTTGCAGAAATACTAAAATAGGATAGCAACTTTATTTACAAGATAGTCCTGAAGTACATGCTATAGGAAGATCATGTTGAAATTTTGGTGTGTTCTTTTTCTTATGGTGTACTTCTTTCATGTACTTCAAAACAATAAAAAAAAAATGGGTGATCCTTAGGGCTGTTTTTATTGTCCCTGCTCTTTTACAGGCTTATTTTATTGTGGTCATAATACAGAACCAGAAAGAACTCCTTGGGTAGCCAAAGAAATCATTTTTAACTAACATAGTTATTCCTGCCCTCCTTCAAAGGTTCTATGCACCTAAATAAGTGTGGGATTTGTAGTTTAGGCTTTTAAAGACATGATCCTCATGTGTAAATGTTAACTAGTAATTGTTAATATAAAAATTCATATGCATGGTTTTTGCCGTTTTCAGCTATGGAGCTAGACAGGTGAGATTTCAAAGGTCTAGTTTTGCCACTTACATAACATTAAAACTATAGCAAACCATATTTTGTGGCTTTTGGTCCAGTGTCCCATAGTAATAGTATATATAGCCTGGCAAAAGAAAATGCATTTTTCTGGGTTGTAAGTATTAATGCAGGCCTTCTTACAAGCTGTATTGAACCAAAGGAATTTATTTATATAAGCATTTATTAAATGCTTATATAATTGAGGCTAAAAAATTATTTTTTCTTGGTTATCTAAATGCATTCATTTTCATTATCAACTATTGCTAGTGAATTTATTTTTCTGCCAGTATTACCTGTTAATGGGCTCTTTTCTTCACATCACTTTGCTATTTGTTTTTGTCACAGAGACAAAATCAGACTTTTTTTCCCCAGGGAAAGAACAATAGAAGTTAGGTAGACAACACATGATTTATTATTTCTTGAAAATTCTGTAAATATTTTAAATTGTTCTAAAAATAACTGCCAACAAATGTTTTAAATGTTGAAAAATGTGCTTTTTGTTATGATTGTTTTTAATAAGTATTCAATATTTATGAATCTCTGCTTTTTCTCTAAATATTGACATTTGTTAGTCATTACCAAGAATACTGTATGTTTAAAAGTTGCCAAATAATAAACTATAAAAATAGCTGGAAGTTATTTCTGGGATTTATTCAAACTATAGATTGGCCATTTATATTTTTAAGAGTCTGTGCTCCATTTTTTAAAACCTCTGAAACTGATGGATCTTCCATCTGCAAGCAACATCTGCTGCTGATGGACCTCTTTTGCAGTCTTAAGTATACTTTATTGTTAGTAACACCACCACAGTCTTTAATGCTAAAAGTAGTTCATTGAGTCTGAAAAAAGGTTAAAGCCAATCTTAACTTTTGTTAAAATTGAAGAATTTGCATATTGATTTAATAAATATATATCTAATACCATCTACGTTCCAGGCACAATACTAGATTAAGAACACAAAGATCATCCAGACAGCATCCATTCTCAAGGAATTAATGCTTTGAAGTATATTTTTTTCCCTATATAACCAGATAGTAAAATGTTATTTATAGTTATTAGGTACAAAAGTGAGGGAGGATCAGAGAACATGAGTGCACTATAAGTGACTCTTTATAAAGAAGAAATGAAAACTGAAGGTTTAGCAGATTTTCTTTTGGAAGAACAGTCATTTCAGAAAATTACACATATAAATACCTTAAAAATGTATTAAAGGAATGGCAAGGAAAAATAGTATTAGCAACAAAATGGCCAGGGTATTTTATTCTTTCTTTAAGATGCCTATGTATATATTGGTTAAATTGAGTTAAGATTGTCCTAGTTTTGAAGCCGATATCTCTGAAAGTTGCAGTAACTCTCTTGGGTTATTTAGATGATAAATAAACACTGAAATATTCTGTCTCATTAACATATATTAACATAAACTTATTTCAAATTGTTATTTTTTTCCCATAAACCTTGCACTTATTGAGGAGATTTTGCAATCTTCTCTTGGCTCCCCTGCAGTCTTTTATTTTAAAAATAAATTTTATTGTGTATATTTGAGGTTTATAACATGATGTTACAGGATACATATGAATTGTAAAATGTTACTATAGTCAAACAGATTAACATCCATCATCTCACATAGTTACTTTTTTTGTGACAAGAGCAGCTAATATCTATCTAACAAAAATTTCTACTATAACACAATTTTATTAACATTTGTTTTCATGTTTTTACAGCACATTATATCTCTAAACTTGTTCATTCTACCTATCTGCTATTTTGTATTCTTTGACCTCTGTCTCCCCATTTATCTCCCCCAATCCTTGCCTAGGATAACCACTTTTTATTCTCTATTTCTGTGGTTTTGGACTCTTTTTTTTTTTTAATATTCCACATATAATTGAGATCATACAATATTTTTCTTTCTATGCTTGGCTTATTTTACTTAACATCATATCCTCCAAGTTCATCCATGTTGTACCAAATGGCAAGATCTTTGTTTTTAAGGCAGAATGGTCGTTGATACACACATACCTCATTTTCTTTATCCATTTTACCATTGATGGATAGGTCTTGGCTATTGTGAATAATGCTTCAATGAACAGGGTAGTGAAGATATAGCTTCGCAAGATAATGACTTTATCTCCTTCGAGTATAAACTCAGAAGAAGGATTGCTGGATCATATAGTAGTTCTATTTTTAATTTCTTTAAGAACCTCTATACTGCTTTCCATAATGGCTGTACCAGCAGTATACTAGGGTTCCCTTTTCTCCATACCCTTGTCAACAGTTACCTCTTGCCTTTTTGATAATAGCCATCCTAATGGGTGTGAGGTAATATCTCATAGTGGTTTTAATTTGCATTTCCCTGATGTCAAATGATGATTTTTAAATGTTACATAAACATAAAAGAATGTTATACTTTTATTTTCCACCAAATTAAATTTCTAATGTTATGAATGCCCTTGTTTTTAGTAATGAAGCAGGGCCAGACTTTCAGATAAAGGTGGAAGTATATAGTTGCTGTACAGAAGAATCTTCTATAACCAATACACCAAAAAAGCTAGCTAAGAAACTCAAGACATCTATAAGTAAAGCTACAGGAAAGAAAATAAGTTCAGTGCTTCAAGAAGAGGATCATGAAACGTGCTTGCTCCTCAACTCTGCTGTTTTGTAAGTTTTTAATACTATAATTATGGTGACATAAAAATGCATTTGTGATATTTTAAACTATTGTATGTGAAGTGTACCTTTACTTTATAAATGGAAAAACATCCTGATACAAAAACAAAACTTAGTTGTTTGACATTTATTCGACTGAGGTATCCTTAATACCCACCTTTAAAGGTAGGAAGTTAGGTGAGAGTGTTTTTAGTGATTTGGAATTCTAACACAGATTGACTGTCCCTTATCTGAAAGCCTTCAGACCGGAAGTGTTTTAGATTTGGACTTTTTCAGCTTTTGGAATATATGCATATATATAATTAGATATCTTAGGGATGGCACCCAGGACTGAACATTAAATTAATTTTATATATATAACTTATACATATAGCCTAAAGGTAATTTTCTATGATATTTTAAATAATGTGGATAAAACAGTTTTGACTGAGTTTTGACTTCAACCATCACGTGAAGTCAGGTGTGGAATTTTCCACTTGTAGTTGTCATACAGGCATTCGAAAGTTTCAGGTTTTGAAGCATTTCAGATTTTCAGAGTAGGGATGCTCAGCTTGTATCTACCAAAAAAAAAAATGAAATTTTGTTGGAAAGGAGCTATATGTATGTCAAAGTATTTCTTTACATATTAGTCTACTAATTAAATTTCTGTGTGTATGTCATGCTTTATTCTTATAGAAAATATTTTATCTCTTTTGAACAAAACCACATTATCATTATTATACTTAACTAAATAAAAAAATAAGTCCTTAATATCCAGTCTATATTCATATTGCCCAATTCTGAAAATATCTTCTTTTGATTTGTTCAAATCAAAATCCAAAGATGATCCAAAATATCACATGAAGTGAGTCTTTTAAGTTTCTTTTAATCTACCACAATTTCTTGTCTTCTCTTTTTCTTGTCATTATTTATTGAAGAGACTAGGTCTTGTAGAATTTTCCATATTTTGAATTTAGCTGATGGCATCTTTGTGGTCTTTTTTTACATTTTTTTCTGGCCCTTGTATTTTTTTGTAACCTCATAGTTAGATCTAGAGGACTGATTAGATTCAGTTCTCTTTTAGGGGAATAATACTCATATTTTTAGATGTACTTCCAACCGGCTTCTAGTAGGAGGCTTTGTCCCACTTTCAGTAATGTTAAAATCGATCAGTGGGTTTAGGTGTTGCCAGCCTAACCCATCCAGTATAAAGTTCCCTCTCAGTCTTTTATCTAATGGTTTTTAACAGTCAAGGTAATCATTTATTATATCATTATGGATTATAATTTGGTGACTTTGTATCTGTCCTGCATTTTTCTTCTAAACTGGAATTCTTGCAAAGAATGTGTCCTGTAAATTCTCTGGATGCAACTACAATAAGATTGGTGGAGGAAAAGGAAGAAAAAAATACTTGATTCTTCTCTTTACTAGATTTTAGAATATCAAGTTGAAACCCTAGCAGTCATGGAGGTGATCAGTACTTTATTTGAACTCTTGAATTTTTTTTTTAAAGACAGATCTGGCTCTGTGATCCTGACTGGAGTGCAGTGGCACTCTCATCTTACTGCACCTTAGCCTCCTGAGTAGCTGGGACTACAGGCACATGCCACCAGCCATGCATGGTGGCTAATTTTTAAATTTTTCTTTTAGAGATAGGGTTTCACCATATTGTTCAGGCTGATCTCAACCTCATGGGCTCAAGCAATCTGCTTGCCTCAGCTTCCCAAAGTGCTTGGATTACAGGCATGAGCCGCCATGCCCAGCCTTGAATTTTTATAATATTTGTGTTTCAATCTGCTATTCTCTTTGATGGCCAAGTTGTTCATCTTTGATCAGTTGGAAACCGTTAAGCTGACTTCTACATCCTTTTGACACAACCTAATCTTTAATAGCTTTTTTGCTTTCTGACCTAAGATGGTCCTCTTTCACCTTGTATTTTTCTGCCAAGACTTGGAATCACCATTTCTCCAAGGAGTCCTGGTTTCCTTCAGATACTTTATTTAAACACTGTATTTGTTTCTTCACAAATAGTTTTATGTTTATGTTTCTTTGGAACACTGTTGATCAAGCTGCATTCCTAGAATTTCTTTGTGTGTCTGGTAGAGTTGGCTCTTCAGCATGTCAGTAATTTTAATGTAATTATAAAAAGCAAAATATTTTAGGTATAGATCCTAGAAATGCTAGTAATCAAAATTTAATTGCTCTTTTCATGTGAGATATATTACATGCAAAATATACTTTGGCACGCTAGCATAGTGTCTTTCAATCTATTTTGATTGATGCTCCTGCTCAAGAATACATTTTACATCATGACTGAGTGCACAGTTATGTAAGCAGATAGATTTTAGGAAGTAGTTCTTAACCCTTACTATTTACAATATAATTATTAGACATTTTCTTATTCTGTTGATTTCAGGTTTTTTAAAAAAATGCTGTTTGTAAATCATTAAGTTGATTTCATGACCCATAAATCAGTCCCAGTCCACATTCTGAGAAACAGTCATAGAAAATGTCTTTCCAATATAAATATCATTTAAAAGGAGGCAAGAGATCTTTAATTTTCTTTTCTTGGATCTAAGACCATCTTTAAAACTTCTCTACATTAATATTCTAGCAAGGATTTGCTGGAAGGTACTTTAATTAAATCATAAGGTGGTGGAATTAATTCTTTTTGATGATTAGATAAACAATTCTATTTCCAGGTTTTAGAGCAGAAAGAGACCTTAGGATAATTACCTAGTTCAATAGTTTTTAAATTTTTTAAGTAGCATAACTCCTATTTTAAAAATGACAGGACCAGTAGTGTCTCTTTCCAACTACACTATATGATAGAAAAGTTACATTTTTCCCTCACTTTGCTCATATGAAAGGCAAGGTGTTTGTATACAACCATTTCTTTTTAGAAAGCTTCTCAGACATGTCTGGGGTTTCATGCACCTTTACAGCATGTAAAAACAGTGAATGTATGTCTTAGTTTAAAACCTCATTTGGCCGTGAATGCTGAATTTTTAATTTCTCTCATTTATTACTTGTATGACCCAAGAGAGATTAATTTACTTTCTGAGTTTTTATTTTTCCTTCTGGAAAATGGAAATAATAATATCTAAACTCCAAAGGATAATTATGAGATTCAGTAAGATAATGCATGGATGTGGTTTATAAAGGAAGCATTTTGTAGTAGGCTCCGTTACCATTATTGTTACTATTTTTACTGTTCCCAGACCAGTCTTTTCTAGGCCTTTTTTTTAAACTCATGCTAAAACTTCACAGTTTAGAAACTTGACATATGATTATAAAAGGTAACCACATTTTTTTCATTTAAACTATCATCTAAATGATGTTAGAAACTATATTTAAGGCCAGGCGCAGTGGCTCATACCTGTAATCCCAACACTTTGGAAGGCCGAGGCAGGCAAATTGCTTGAGCCCAGGAGTTCATGACCAGCCTGGGCACCATGGTAAAACCCCTTCTCTACTAAAAATACAAAAAGTAGCCTAGATGTAGTCAGCTATCCAGGAGGCCGAGGTAGGAGGATCACCTGAGCCTGGGAGGTTGAGGCTACAGTGAGCTGTGATCATGGCACTGCACTCTAGCCAGAGCATAAGAGGGAGGGAGGGAGGGAGGGAGGAATGGAGGAAGGAAGGTAAGTGAGAGGGAGGGAGAGAGGGGGAAGATTTAATCTATATTTCTTTTTGGAAGGAAGAGGGGGGGAGGGAGGAAGGAATATTTAATCTATATTTCTTTTTGAAGCCTAGAGGAATTTTTGAGAATGTTATTGTGCATTAAGTTCTTTTTAACAGACAGGCATATTTATCTTAGAGTGTCTATTTTCCTGTTGAGAATTTTTCATTCTATTTGGTTTATTCCTGAATCCAAACACTACTTTTACTTATGAACATTGCCCCCTTCAAACTTGCATGGCCTTTGCTTATTTTATAACATTAAAATTGGTCAAAAGATAAAATAAAACCTTTTACAACATTTCACAAATCATATTCTTCTAGTACCAGCATTCTGCTGACACTGTAGTGTGAACCCAGAGTCTACTAGGTTAACTCATAGCCCAGGACTCCTCTTACCTGATACCTCCTTAACTGACCACTGCAGCACCATGGTAGGAATTTAAAAATCAGAATGCATAAGGGGATTAATTTTGTGTATGTAAGTGATCTAGGTCAATGCAAAGATTTCTAATATAGCTTTTAGTTTTTAACCAAAATGGACACGTAAAACGATAAAATTTTCCCTTGTAATATGACATGTGACCAAATATAGCTGTTCTTTCAGACAAGAGTGCAGTTTTTAGACTACCATTTAAAGTAGCCATTTATTTTTTTCATAACATTCCCCCTCCTCAAAAAAATGTTGTAACAATTGGCCTATTTGATGGAAAAAAAATGTAGCTGATTAAACTTTTGGGAACTCAATATTAGGGTTGGCTAAAAGGAATGAGTGTAATGTTTTAGAAAGAAAATGCTATTCTGACAAGAATGTTTTAAAAGTGAGGTCACTGTTGGTTTTGGAAGCATTGGCATTGTAGTTAGTCATGGTTTAAAAATGAAGCAACTTGAAATATCTTCATAAAGTATTGTTTGATCTGAAAGAAGACAGTGAACATTTTTGGTAATTTTTAGTATGCTCCCTGATAAGATTCATTTATTCATTTTATTGTGGAATTTAGCTTAGTAAAATTCCTTTAGCTAGATTTTCCCAGTGCCTCTACTAGCTGAATTAACTATTTTATGCTCCTTGATAACTGTTTAGTGCATTATTCTTAATTGTATAAATACACATCATTTTAAATGATCATTTTGTGAAAACTGGTAAAATTCAGAGTGATTATTTGCTTGACAAAAGATGTATTGTTTCTTAAAAGTAAGCACTAATACTACATTTTAAATATGATTGAAGTTATAAAACATGTATCCTAACACTTGTTCAGAATAAGTGGATTATTTATGTTTTGAGAAACAAGACTTAAAGATTTGGTGATATGACAGATAATATAGTTTGTAAATATAACTAAGGGGTCACTTAACTATTGTATATAATTAAATCATAGGAATGATTTTTCAGCTGTTATGTCATGTGATCCATTCAAAGGTTAATAGGTCATGGTCCCTGCACTCAAAATTCTTGCAGTTTAGTAAAATGTAGTCACTATTTATTTTAAAAGAAAAAGTATTTTAAACTATTTCTCAATGAATTATAAAGCTAATATAATACAGTGGAGCTCTCTTTCCAGTATACCTCTTGCTAGCTACAGGCAAGTCGGTTACATTCTCTGAATATCAGTTTCTTCATCTGAAAATGTGGAACAAAATATCTGCCCTGCCTACTTCAAGTAGTTGTTTTGAACCTTAAAAAAGATATTGCTTGTCAAAGTGCCTTAAACTGCACATAGAGATGAAGTATGACAGTGCTTTGCATGCATTGATTTCCAGGGGTGGTTTTCATCCTGTTACCATTTAACCACATTAATCATTTTGTTAGAAAAATAATAGGCCCAGTGTGGTCACTCAGGCCTGTAATCCCAGCTCTTTGGGAAGCCAAGGTGGGTGGAACACCTGAAGTCAGGAGTTCAAGACCAGCTTGGCCGATGTGGTGAAACTCCGTCTCTACTAAAAAAAAAAAAAAAAATACAAAAAGTTAGCTGGGCATGGTGACAAGTGCCTGTAATCCCAGCTACTCAGGAGGCTGGGATAGGAGAATTCCTGGAACCCAGGAGGCAGAGGTTGCAGTGGGCTGAGATCGCACCATTGCATTCCAGCCTAGGCATCAAGAGCGAGACTCTGTCTCAAAAAAAAAAAGAAAAGAAAAATAATAGAAACTTGGAAACAGAACTTAGAAGGAAAAAAGTTACTCATAGTTTAACTACTAAATACTTTTATCATTTTGAGCTGATATTTTACTTTCAGGTTTTTAAATATTTAGCTTTGGGGGGATATTTAGTAATTATACTGTACATTCAACTTTCTTCAGACTTTATTACAGAGTCTTTACATAATTATTTTGATGGCCACATTATCTGTTAGTTAGCTATATCATAGTTTAACTGTTTTTAGAGGAGGCTATCAATAATTTTTTTCATATTATGTGTCACTCATCAGAAATAGAGGTAAATATCTTATTTAAATAAGATAAGGTAAATCAGGTAAACATATTAACCTTAAAGTAGTTAAAAATGTCTTAATTATTTTTTAAAGCCCCAGAAAGAAATGTAAACACATAGTTTGGTTATCACACAATTTTGGCCTATTCTGCCACACAGATTGTCTTCTAAACATGCCGTCTCTCCAGTGTGCCCAGCGCAGATGCAGTGAATAACATAGTTTCTTCCTGTGCATACTGTTAGCACTGTTTAACATCCTACTGTATTTTGAAATGACTCTTCCTAAAGTGGAGACTACTCAAATGTTTTTAGTGGTCAATGAGAATAAATTACAATGCCACTCCTAAAAATAAAACTCAAAAGTGTCTTCATTCTCTTTTTTTCTGTATCTACCATTTCAGATATTTTTTTTGATAGACTTAACATACATGTGTTAATAATACAGATGGTTAGCCCATCTAATACCTAGACCTTTCAGTTTCATGACCTTGCACCAGTAATCTTGTTCTTTTATCCATTTCAGCCATCCACCCCATGATTATATCCTAGATCTTGTCATTACTATTAATTGCATGTGCTCTGTAATCTTTGTAGTAGGTTTTCCACTCTCCGCCATCTCCTGCATTTCCAGGTTCTTCCCTTCAGTGCTCTGATGCCAACAAGCTTACTTATGTAGCTGAAAATACATAATTTACTGTTTTATGTTTTCCTAACATCTCTCTTCTTTTGTCATACTTTCCTTGGAAAAACTGACCTTGGTTAACTCCTACTTTTAGCTCCTTTGCACTCATACTCATGAAGAATAGATGAGAAAGCTAGAGAAAAACACAGTTATACTTCCTGGTGTCACTTCAGATACAGAATTCCTAACCTTAAATGTGTTCTCAGTATGACTAAGCAATTCTGTTTCTATAGTCTTCTACTTTACCTCTCTTCAAGGTAAGTATTTCACATGTTCTCCTCTCTAACCACCAACATGCTCTCTCTGCTCCTCATTTATAGCTGATGACTGTTTCATATGTCATTGATATTACTGAAGTAATTGGAAGAGAACTTGAATATCCCCCATCCACGAAATCTGCCAGCCTACCCACATCTTCCTCTGTTTGCTGTTTGCTGTGTTTGCAGTTTCCTTTCTTGTGAACTGCCTTCACCTCATCTAAGGCCTATCTACTTGTACACTAGATCCCATCTTCTCAGTTACTCACAGTAGGCTCCTGCACGTTTCCTCCCCTCCTATCTTACATCACCAACTTTTGTACATTTCTGTATACTTATAAACATACTGAAATACCTTTGATTTCATAGCTATCCTTCATGGATAATAATTTTTTATATTCCCATCTCCACTTCCTCTTCTGTCATTCTCTATTAGACCATTTCAGGTGGCTTACCTCATGTTACCTTCATCCCGTCCTACAGAAACTACTCTCGTCAAGGTCAACGGTGATCTAATGTTGTCACATTTGATTGTCAGTTATTGGTGTTCCTCTTCCTAGACCTTTTGCCACGAACACAATGGATCACTCTCCTTGAAATACTATTTTTATAAGCCATCTAGAATACTACTTTCTTGATTTTTCTTCCACCTCAGTGACCATTTGTTTGTTGCCTTTCTCCTTTGTTCTTTGCTCGTCACTTAATGGAGTGCTTGTGTCCCAGTATTTGGTCCTTAGACTTCACCTAACTTTCATTAAATTTTGTATATATACTGACAACTCCCAATTTTATATCTCCCCTTTTAACTCCAGACTCATATATCCAGTTGCCTGGATGCATCTAGATATCAAAAACAATCTCAAACTTACTTGCCCCAAACTGAATTCTTACCTCCTGTATCTGTTTCTCTCACAGCCAGCCTCATTTCAGTTAATATAACAATTCAATTTTTCTAGTTGCTTGGACCAGAAGGCTTGGACATGTCTTTAATTCTTCCTTTGCTTTCACATCCTGTCTTTGCACTGACAACTTAGAGAATACATCAGGAATTGGAACCACTCACCACCCCAGCACCACCACTGTATTCTAGGCCTGCAACAGCTCTTGCCTGGTCAGTTGCAGTAGCCTTTTAGTTGGTGTCTCCATTTTCACTCTTGGCCTCTGTTGACTGTTCTCCACACAGCAGCCAGAGGGATCATTTAATTTTGATAAAAGTCAGATCATAGCACATGACTGCTCAGAACCTACCATTTGCTGCACATCTCACTCAAAATCCAGTGTCCTTACCATGACTTACTGTGCCCTACCAGGATTGGTATAGACTGTTTGCCCGTTACTTATTTTGGACATCTCAAATCACTCTCCCTCCCTCACTGTACTCCAGTCACACTGGCCTCCTTATTTGTCAAACACACCTAGCATGTGCTCACCTTAGCCTTTATATGTATTGTCCTCTGCCTGAAATACTCTTCCTTCTGTTTTTCTTGTGGCTCACTTCTTCCTTTCAGGTCTTCACTCAAGTGTTATTTTGGAGATAGGCCTTCTCCTTTGGCCATCTGAAATAGCACTCTCTCCTCACCTTAATCCTTCACCATGCTTTACTTAGCTTCATGGGCCTGATATAATTATACATTTTTCTATCTATTTTTCTTCCTGTATAAAAAAAGGAAAAATAGTTAAATATATAAATGTATGTTTATGTATTTATACATTCTCCTCCCCCATTTTGTTGATTGTTGTAGCTTTAACACCTGGAACAGTACCTGGCAAATGCAGGCAATTCCACTTATTGTCAATAACCTTTTCTTGAGAATAACATATTCTGCCCTAAAATGCTCACAGGGAGTCTACTTCCCATTTTAAGTGGGAAATATACTGTGTTACCAATTTAAAACACCCATCTACTCTGTAAAATACAGTTTCAGAAGACTGATTTATCAGGGACAAATTATTATGTTGGGATAATGCTTAACATATTGAACCCTGATAAGCAAACAACTAATATGAATGTTAGTATGCAGTTCATGTGTAGTCATATTTGCTCTTCCATTGTAGTTGCTGTTCTCAATTACTTTGATTTAAAAAAAAAAGGTTTTTTTGAGACAGAGTCTTGTTCTGTCGCTCAGGCTGGAGTACAGTGGCAGGATCTTGGCCCACTGTAGCCTCTCCTCCTGGGTTCAAGTGATTCTCCTGCCTCAGCCTCCCAGGTAGCTGGCATTACAGGCGTATGCCACCATACCCAGCTAACTTTTGCATTTTTAGTAGGGATGGGGTTTCACCATGGTGGCCAGGCTGATCACGAACTTCCCACCTCAAGTGATCCACCTACCTCAGCCTCCCAAAGTTCTGGGATTATAGGTGTGAGCCACCGCGCCCAGCCTACTTTGATTGTTTCTTCACAGTTTTTTATGTAATACTTCAACTTTTTTGGGATTGTGTGAACAACAGGCAAAAATAAAAGCTAATTATAAAAGACACTATAGAAACTTGTTAAGAATAAGTGAATAATAGCAGAGAATGGCCACTTGTGCCTCTCTTAGTTCTGGCAGCAGTAAAGATTTGTTGATAAATTGTGAACTTTTGAAAAGTCTTAAGTGTGAGTCTGACATAGCAATTCAGAATGTAACTCCAATGTTTATTCATGCATTGTTTTGTTTAAAATGTTATGTTGAAATTTAGAGACAGAAATGTAAATTTCCCTATATAAACATTAACCAAAAACATTGGATATAGAGAGTTATCTTTGGTCTTTAATGACTATATGGTAAAAGCTAACAGGCATTCTCCAAAGGAGTAGTATTCTATGGAGTATGCTGTTATTTACTGAAGTGCATGCATACATTGCATGTTTACTAAATGTATGCATATTTTTCTTTATAATACAGAGATTTTATTAAAGATTTAGTAAGAAAGGAGGTTTATGAAACAACACCTAGAACAATTAAAATTCCTATCAGACGTCACTGTCTTTTTTTTTTTTTTTTTTTTTTGGAGGTGAGTCTCACGCTGGCTCACTGCAGCCTTTGTCTCCAGGACTCAAGCAGTTCTCCTGCCTCAGCTTCCTGAGTAGCTGGGATTACAGGCATGAGCCACCGTGCCCAGCTGACATCACTGTTTTCTTATCTCTCTTTGGCTTGTGCACGTGCATGCTTTCTCTCTCTCTCTCTCTCTCTCTCTCTCTCTCTCTCTCTCTCTCTCTCTCTCTCTTTCTCTCTCTCTCTCTTTTAATATACTCGATGTTTCGAGATTTTACTGATTTGGGGAAAAAAATCTTGAAAAAAATTAGGATTACTAACATAGGAAATACAGTTGTTACTGAACATAAATTCACTTTTTATCACCACAGCAGTGCCAGGATATGAAGTTCATCAGAAGAAATTCTAGGTATTTGGGAAGTACCACAAAGGGAACTATAATGAAAAGAAAAAAATGGAATGAGTATAATGATGTCCTCCATGTACTCACACTATAGATAAAACCCTCAAATCTCTGGTGTAGATAACCAGAAGAAGGAGATCCATTCTGTGAAAAATAAGCAAAGCTGCACGATAGTTAATAGTTAATAAGACGAGTTGCACATGAATTGCACTCGACTTTGATTTGTGTAGAGGCGACTGGGCATTTTAAAGGGAGAATGAGGAAATTGGGAGAGGTTGAGTCAGGCTCCGAGTTAGCTAAGTGAAAAGTTCCAGATAGTGGGAAGTGGGGATTGGTCCATGTAAAACCCATCTGGGCATGCTAGCTGGTACTTACCAAAATTAGTCTTCTACCTTACCACGGAGACTGAAAGACAAAGGCCCTGTTTTCAGGTCTTGGCTGGAACAAACAAATTCTTTTGTCGGCCTTGAGTTTTCTCAGGCAGGCACTTTAAGAAGATGTCTTAGGGATGCAACTTTGAGCTGCTAGAAACAATGCTAGTGTTTGTTCAGGTCTTTAGAGGCCAAGGTTGAGGCCTAGTTGAGAAAAAGACTCAGAGGAACCTGACTAGAGTTTGGTCCAGAAGACAGCCTTTGACCCTGGGAAATTAATATAAATCAGACCCTATCATTCCACTTTTTATCAACTTTGCTATTACACTTAGAATTAAATCCACCCCTCTTCCAAGGCTCACAGAGCCCCCAGGTGAGCTCATCACTGCCTCTATTTCCAGCCTTCCTGCTTGCTTGCTGTGCACCGGCTATACTAGTTTTCCTTCAGCCCTCCCTTTGCACATGCTCACTCTGCTTGGAATGTTTTCCTGCATTCTTTGCTTGGGTAGATTCTTTTATGACTAGATAACTGTTACCTTCCCAGAAAAGCCTTCCCCAATTCACCTATCTAACACAGGTCCTCAGTTTTCTCTTCTGTTTCTTTCATAGAAAAAGTTACATTCCAACTTGAAAATGCTGGTATTTGATTTATTCCTTGGCCTACTCTTTTTTCATTCTGCCTGCATCAGAATGTAATGCTGGATCTTGTTTGCCATTGAATGCCCATCACCTAGCATTGAACTTGGCACATTTTAAGTATTCAATAAATATTTATTAAATGAACAAGGACCCTTCAGAAAAATATTTGTGAGAATTAAATAATTTGCAGATTTTTATTGACAAAATATCAGAAATAAACTTGCTAAATTAAAACTTCTATTGTCAAAAAATGTCATCTATCATGCCTAATTTTTTTTGTAGTAAAGCATTCTTGAGTATACATTCAGAGGCATTAAGTACATTCACATTGTACAACCATCACTACCCTCCATCTCCAGAAGTTTTTCATCTTCTTAAGCTGAAATTCTATATCCATTGAACACTAATTCCTCACTCTGTCCTCTTAGCAACCACCATTCTACATTCCATCTCTATGGATTTCACTACTCTGGGTACCTCTTGTAAGTGAAATCATATAGTGTTTGTCCTTTTGTGACTGGTTATTTCACTTAGCATAATGTCTTCAAGATTCATCCATGTTGTATGTCAGAATTTTCTTCTTTTTAAGACAACCCTGAATGATATTCCATTTTATATATGTGTGTGTATATATACACACACAGACACATACCCCACATTTTGTTGATTCCTTGGATAGATACTTGGGTTTCTTCTACCTTTAGGCTATTGTGAATAATGCTGCTGTGAACATGGGTGTACAAATATCTGAGTCTCTGCTTTCAGTTCTTTTGGGTGTATATCAGAGTAGAATTGCTGGATCAGTAATTTTATTTTTAATTATTTGAAGAACCATCAAAATGTTTTCCATGGAGGCTGTATCATTTTACATTCCCACTAGCCATGCACAAAGGTTCTAGTTTCTCCATATACCAGCTAACACTTGTTACTAGTTTTGTTTGTTTGTTTTACTAATAGCTATCTTAATGAGTATGAAGTGATATCTCATTGTGGTTTTGATTTGCATTTCCTTAATGATTAATGATACTGAACATCTTTTTATTCTTTTGTTGACTGTATATCTGCTTTGGAGAAATGTCTATTTAAATCCTTTGCTTATCTTTAAATCAAGAGTTTTATTTGTTGTTGAACATATAAATATTTTGTATAGTAGTAGAAAACATACAAAAATACTTAAAACATGTCTTCTTTCTCACTATTAGTGGTGTAAAGTATAATTTACTAGCTCACACTACCCTAACCTTGGAAAGTGCTGAGGATAGTTTCAAGACCCATAATCTGTCTATTAATGGAAATGGTAAGTACAATATGTATTTTACTTACTACATACATTCTGCCTATATTTCCAATTATAGTGTGTTCCTTCAATTGGTTATCAGCTTAAATAGTGGAGACACAAGTGATTCTGTTGGTTCTTTCAAATATATCTGTCCCTCTTCCCCAAAGGAGAAAAGTTTATTTTCCTTTCTCTACACTGAGATTTGTTTGCAAGGTTTGGTGGGAAAAGAAAGGTCTCAGGTACACTGAATCCTTGTTTTTGATTTGGAATTTATGACTTCACTACTCTTCTAGCTAGAAATTAAAGACATGACTTACTTTTAAATTTAAAATCAAGGAACCCAGCCTTTCTGTTAGTAGGAAGCAGAGAATGTAAGAAAGAGAAAGGGTTAAATTATCTTAACCTTTTTCTGTTTGGATCGTAGTGGTAGTTTTAGTTTATCCAAAATAAATATATAGGAAAGTGAAGAAGGGGGTTAGGTCATTGGGAAGATTTGTAAAACTTAGCATGAGCACTTGCTACTCTCCCAGGTGATTTTACTCATGGTGAAAAATATGGAGCAGTGTTGGTAAGGCAGTTTGGAAGTATGATTTGGGTTGTTTACTTTTGTTCATTTTCTCCAAGCAAGATAAATAAAATAAGTGGTAAATGTTCTAATTATACTTACTGTTGTAAAGACTATGGCTCTGTACTGACAAAACTGATAATGTTATACCAATTTTTTTTTTGTTTCACAATAAGAAGTTATGTTAAAAATAGGCAAAAGTTCATGAAATGTAAATATATAATTTAAAAAAGATAATTTTGAGGCTAGGTGTGGTGGCTCATGCCTATAACCCCAGTTCTTTGGGAGGATGAGGTGGGAGGATCACTTGAGCCCAGGAGTTTGAGACCTGCCTGGGCAACATAGTGAGACATTATCTCTACCAAAAAAAAAAAAATTGGTTGGCCATGGTGGTACGTGCAGGTAATCTCATCTATTCAGGACATTGAGGTAGGAGGATTGCCTGAACCCAGAAGGCTGCAGTGAGGTACAATTGTGCCACTGTTCTCCAGCCTGGGCTACAGAGCAAGACCCTGTCTCAAGAAATAGAACATGTCAAAAAATAGAACATTACTACCACTATTTTCCCTTGGTTACCCTAGGTGTATATAAATCTCCATTTTTGTGGTATATACTTCCTTGCTTTTCTTTATGGTTTTCTTTTTCTTTTTTTTTTTTTTTGTTGAGACGGAGTTTCGCTCTTGTTACCCAGGCTGGAGTGCAATGGCACAATCTCGGCTCACCACAACCTCCGCCTCCTGGGTTCAGGCAATTCTCCTGCCTCAGCCTCCTGAGTAGCTGGGATTACAGGCACGCGCCACCATGCCCAGCTAATTTTTTGTATTTTTTTAGTAGAGACGGGGTTTCACCATGTTGACCAGGATGGTCTCGATCTCTTGACCTCGTGATCCACCCGCCTCGGCCTCCCAAAGTGCTGGGATTACAGGCATAAGCCACCGTGCCCGGCCCTATGGTTTTCTTAATACCGCATTTGTGTGCTTCCCTAAATAATATAATTTTGCATGATTTGAACTTTGATATGGAATCATGTTGTCTTATTAATTTGTTTTTTGTTAATCATTCAGTATGTATGCTTTTCATTACTTATAGTATCTCATTTTGTGGTAATATGTATTTATCTCTTAGACTGATTTAATCATTTTGAATAGTTACAGGGTTCTTCATCTTTTCTGTTTCTTGGGTCAGTTTTAATAAGTTATATTTTTATAGATACCCATTTGATCTAAACTTCGAGATTTATAGGCGTCAAATTCTCTATAATGTCCTATATCTATTGAATTTCTGCAGCCTCTGAAACACTGTTCCCTCTTTTCCATTACTGGTACTTACTTTCTGTACCATCTCTGTTTTTTAATTCTAATTCTTGTAATAGATTAGTCAGTTTTATTCACTTAGGTGTTCCATATTTGCTAATTATTTGTTAGGAGTAATGACTATAGTCTATATTACTGCAAGAAGTGTGATAAAATCTCCTGTGATTATGGATTTTTCTACCCAAAGTTATATCAATTTTTGCTGTATATAATTTGAGCCTTTGTTATTTAATGCATTTGTGTTTAAATTGTGTATTTTTTTCTTTTACCTCAAACTGTACTTATTTTTGTGTTACAGACATGCCTCTTCAGCATTATATTGGATTTTAATTTTTCTCTAATTTGACAATCTTTTCTTCCTGAAGTTTTTAGTCCTTCTGTGTTGAATATCAAATAGCTGTATATTTAGCTTTAAATCTACTATGATAACCTGTGTTTTTTATTTCTCACCGATTTCATGGGTTTTTTTTCTTGCCTTTTTAAGGCATTTTTTTCTCGTTTGAATTAAAGTTATACATCCTTTTTCTCATTTTTTAGAACTTATCTGTAAAATTTCATTAATCGTATTTATTAAAATCGCAACTTAAAAGATTGTTTTGTGCTTTTCTCAGATAATACAAGGGCTTTAGAACAGTTAAACTCTTTCCCCTAACCTGTGTGCTATTGTTATATATTGTAATTTTTTTTTTTTAGCAAGATGTTTTATAGATTTGAAACTTATTTCGATTTACCTACATGTTTCTACACACTACTTGTATCTTATGCCTTGCATCTGGGATAATTTTCCTTCTGCTTGAAGTATATGCCTTAGAATTTATTTTAGTGTGTTCTACTGATATCAAACTTCTTGGTTCTTTTGTTTATCTGAAGATGGCTTTATTTTGCCTCATAATTGAAGATATTTCTTAATTCTGCAGTTTCAGTGTGTTCTTGTTGAATATTTAAGATATAATTCCAATATTTTTGGCTTCTATTTTATTGTAAGTGTTGTAAATCATTTGTCAGCGTGTTACCTCTGTAAGTGTAATCTTTTTATTTCTTTTTCGCCTTTGGTTTTCTAAAATTTTACTATGGTCTAATTAGGTGTAGGGTTTATGCTGCTTGGGGTTTCTTGAGCTTCTTTACATTGTTGATAGATATGTTTCATCAGTTTAGACAAAATCTCACTTATGTGTTTCAAACTGCCTCTGCCGTTTTCTAGATTTTCTCCTTGCATTCCTGTTAAACCTATGTTAGTCTTTTTCATTGTATCCTTCATGTTTCTTACTCTTTAGGATGTACTTTTCAGCTCACTTACAGATATTTAGAACATAAGCTATTCATAAATCTGGGATCGCCTATATAAAGAAGTTTGCTTTCAGACTTTAAATTTATAAATCACAAAGTTGATTTTACAAGTATTACTGAAATGCATGCTTTTAATAATTTTTATTTCATTTGCTGCCTGTTTTAGGAAAAATAGCTTTTATTTGTGTTTGCATTTTGGAATTGCATGTATTATGCTTGTGCATTTATTTTTCCCAGATTAAGCCCTTTATTGCTAAAATATAGCAGCTTTAAAAATGTATTGATGAAAAAGATTTGAATACTGTCAAAACATTGTTATGTGCTATTGTATA